ATGTGTGTGTGTGTGCGTGTGCGTGTGTGTGTGTCTGTGTGTGTGTGTTTGCGCGAGCGTGATCAGCACGTGTGTGATATTTTTGCCCTCCGCTGACCCACTGAACCCCTGAGATTCACTGACAAAAGATCTAGATCCTAGATCTAGATCTATGCTGTAAAAGTGCATTTTAAGTGCGTAAATTATTGGACCCAATGTAGAATCTACAACAATATGTTAATACACTTGAATTTGTTGTAGCACTTTACTAGATCTAGATATAGATCTAGACCCAAACAAGAACAACATGTTAATACTCACATTTACAGGTCTAGGGGATAATTATCAAGTTATCTTGACTTCGTGACGTAGGCTATGACAAAACGCAATAGTCTATATGAACTACACAAATACATGTTTTTGTTGTAGGCCCTACATTGAGTCTAGCCTAATAATTTATGCAACTAAAATGCACTTTTACAGTATCTATGCCTTGTCTTAAAAGAAGTTAAAAGTATATTTATCATACCGATTCAAATTAGAGCATAATACACATGCTAGATCAATCTAAATCTAGTCTAGATCTATATCTAGATCTAGATCTAGATTAGATCTCTAGATTAGATTACTTACTCAGATTTACATTGTACTTTTCATTGATTATCTTCCGCAGTTCATCCATTTTTGTAGTTTGTTGCGGATCGGGACTCCACATGAGCTTCGGAGACCCTGAAGCATCTCCATTGCCACTGATTTTACTATCTGACATGATGGGTTGTTGCTGGTGAAGTCGTGTGTACAACGCAAAGTGTAGAAGAACGGCAGGCCAAGAGACTACTAACTTTTACAAACTTTCGCGGTCGCACCCTTATCTCTCTCGCCCACCAAGTTGGAGGCGTGAAGCGCTTTCCAAAAGAACTTGGTTGATCAAGATTTGCTCAGACACAGGCTGACACAAGTTGTGGATTCTTTCCAATCTGTGAAAGACGACAGTAAATAAAGACACTTAAAAACAGTTTACAATGAATGAGATTTTTTTTTTCGTCAAAGGAATCACAACATAATTTGACACGCGTAGCGCCGTGTCAACTCATCTAGCAGAAGAAAAATCCAAGGTTGTCAAGGCCGCAAACGTGTGGTACGACCAGTTATTTACTTCCGGCCAATGTATCGCCAAATAATCTTCCTTTGTGGCTTTCCCAGATGAATTTAGCATAAACCATTAAATTGGGAACAGGAAAATTCCCATTCGACTTGTCATCAATGCGTTAAAAGAGGATACAAACCACCGAGAGCAGCGAATTTCCCACTTGCCGCAAAGAAGATATTTCGTTACTTTCCCCTTTGACCCAAGACACACCGGCTGAGGTTTTACGGTGATAGGTGTGAAATGGTCTCCACTTTATTTTATCCACACACTCAGATTATCTGAGTGATTGGCTGTCCTCTATCATGTACATGACATGTCATAGTGGATCTTCTTTCATTTTTATCGACCAGACCTGGTTTTCAACAGTGTTTCATGAAGAAGCGGTGAAATCTGGTGTAAACTGCATAACTCAAAGTGCAATGCAATAAACCGTCTCTTCTCTCCAGCTCCACCTCCTCCCTAGCGGACCCCTCCAATCCCCAGGATGTGAAGAATTACATTGTTCATGATGCTGTTGAACAGGTACCGCTGGTTCAACTCGATAATATGTGGTGGCAGATTTTTTAAAATGATAATGCACTATAATACGTATTTACGTCGAAGATCAACTGAGCTAACATTTAATTTTCGACTACCCCTCCTACTCCAGTGAGTCCATCCATTCATCGATCCTTCCATCCTTCCACCTAGACAGCCAGTGAACCGGCTATCTTTCCTAAAATGGACGCAATCATAATTTAAGCACTCATCTAACAGACACCCCCATCCCCTCCAATCCGACCAGTATACACATTAACATTATATAGGCCTACACACACACGTACATACACATACACAAACACACACACACACACACACACACACA